TCGCTACACATTCTCAATATGCGTGTATATCGGGGTATCGTCTACTGGATTACAACAAATAAATAATTAGCTTTGTACATGCATGTACGCATGCATGCATGCACGCTAACTGTCTGTTCACAGAGACGGTACCACTCATAACCCATGATGCATAATTAGATTTTTGTTTTATTTTACAAAGGCGAAACGAGCCAATCACCCACCGTTCCTCTCTCCATCACACACACGCGTGTCATGTGTATCAGACTACATAGACATATATCATAATAATGTGTTCTGTTTTTTATATTTTCAAAACAAAATCCAATTCAACAGAACAGAATATCAACTGTTATTATATATATGATTATTAGCAATACAAAACACACACACACACACACACAAATACACAATAATAAACACCTATAGAGAGAGATGAGGGATGAATTAAATCAAAATTATAACAACATAAGCACTACTACTACTACTACTTACCTGATTATTTACAGTCTCTGTTATGCCAGCAAAACTGTTATAGTCTAATTTTTCACTGAAATGCGTAGTCGAAGTTAATTCACTTTCTGAATCAGAGGCTAGATTCACATGTGCACACACGTGAGTGAGTATGTGTGAGTGGATGTGTGTGTGTGTGTTGGTGTTTGTGTGTATGTGAAGTATATTTCCAAATGAGCAGAGAAATAAAAAGTAAAAAAAAAAACAGTTGGGTTAGTGCGCAAAACTACAGATCAGATTATTAGACAATTAAAAAATAAAGGTAATTTCAATGTAGATTTCAAGGTCTTTGTCAACCTCATTCGACAACTGGTTGGCTATATGACAAGGTCACGTGTCAGCTGATCCATAACGGAAAACTCAGCGGGGCGTTCGAAGTGCATACAGGAGTAAGACAAGCTGGCTGCCAACGTTGGTGGACTGGATTATGCGTCAGACAGTTGGGGGGGGGGGTGAGGAGTCAGGAATACGCTGGACCACACCGAGGAGAAGACTCTAGAAGAAGATCTGGATTTCGCACACGATATATGTCTGATGTGCCACATACTCGAAGACTCACAGGCGAAAACCAACAAACTGGCTGTAGAAACAGCGAAGACAGGACTCTAAATGAAAATAGAGAAGATGGAATTGATGTAGGTAACCAACGGACCGCAACTACAACAACAACCAGCACTAATCACCATCAACGGGAGATATTTAACAGGCGTTACCTCCTTCACTTATCTCGGAAGCACGATTTCAACCACAGGCAGCAGAACGAATGAAGACGTCAAAGCCAGTCAGATTCGTAAAAGGCAAGATACGCACGCCTACATCCACCTGAAATCAGTTTGGAAATCTTATGCATTCCGCGTCAGCATCACAAGGAACAATATTCGGATTCTGTTCAACACAAATGTGAAGGCAGTCAGTCAGTCAGTTCTTCTATACGAGTAAGAAACTTGGCCAGCGTTTCACGAAAAGGATTTCCAATAGCTTGTTGCAGACTTTCATCAACAGCTGGCTGGCTCCATACTGAAGATCAAATGGCTGGGGAGAAAGAATAAGCAACAAGAAACTATAGGAACAAACCAACCAAGAGCCGATCGCTCAACAAATATGTAGGAGAAAGTGGAGATGGATGGATTGGACATACATTGAGGAGGCCGCTGAATGACATCGTGCGTAATGCAGGCCATCGCTCGAGTGGAATCCCAATGGGAAGCGACGACTGAGTCGTCCTAGGGTTACATGGAGGAGATCGTGTGAGGAAGAGATGAGAGAGTTTGGTCAATCGTGGACCCAGTGAAGAGGACAACAGAGAATAGAACAAAGTGGAGATGTGTTGTTGAAGCCCTATGATGTTCCACTCGGAACCCAAGGGAATAATAAATAAATAAATAAATAAAATCAATGTAGATTTCGTCAAGAAATAAAGTCAATTACAGATCACTGAAAACATGACAGCTGGAGTGTACACCATCAACATCTCATCAGGGATCACCGAATCCGGGACCTTCTAATTACGAGATGCAGCTCGTTGACAATTCAACCATATCGGCTGGAATTCAATGATTCGTGGATTCTAATTTTCCAAATTCTCATTTATGTATTTAGAAAAAAACCCAACAGATTGGGTGAAGAAATTTACCTTCCTTTCCAATTAGTTCCTCATCATTGGCTGACTCTACACTAATACGTAGTTTACATCAAAATGTTTTACCAAACAAGTGGTTATTTTAGCTAGTCAGTTTTAGGTATTTTGCGGGGGTATGGGTGAAATTGAGAGGTTGAAAGTCATGAAAACGCTGTATGCAGCTCAATACTGGTTCATCTCGTCGATTATTATTATTGTTATTGTTCCCTTGGGTTCCTAGTGGAACATAGGGCTTCAACTGCACGTCTCCACTTGCTTCTGTCTTCTGCTGTACTTTTCACCTGCATCCATGTTAATCCATACTGTTTCACTTCTTCTTCACACGATCTCCTGCATGTCATCTCGTCGATACTGGACATCAAATCGACTCTAACAAAGCTTTTAAATTTAGTTATCGTATACCATCTTAACCTCCAGTATGGTCTACGACTGTGACTTTGGCTTAAAGCAGAGGTAATCGGATTTCATCTGGACAAACCAAATCTATGTGCATTCAAAAGAAATTTGTACAGTATTAAGTTTTTTAAAACGATTTTTACCTTCTCCTTGTAACTATCTTTTGACTTCGTTAATTTCTTCAATTTTTACAATTCTAGCTAATTCTATTAACTTGTTTGTATTTTACGTAATCCTATTCTTCTTAGTCATTATTGTTATTTTACAAATTTCTTGATTATGTAATAACTTGTTGCCAACGCCTAAGAATCAAGTTATCTTGAATTTTGTTAATTAATTTTCACCTCTCCTTTAAAACTTGAATACCTTGTTGCTAACGTCTATTATTTGTTTGTTTTGATGACCTTTAACCTCTTAAATTCATCCGTGCCACCTATACGTAAGACTGATTGACTAAAATAACCACTTGACTGGTAAAAACTTTTGATGTAAAAAACTACATATCAGTGTGGAGTCGAAAATTAATTAATTGAATTAATTGAAAAGGAATATATTTCTTCGCTTATTCTGTCAATCGGTGTGACGCAGCGTTACCCTCAACCAACGTTTTCGATGGGCATCGCCACCACTTGACACACCTTGACATGATGCATCTCGCCGGTCACAACTTCTCAGTATTGCTTCGGGACATCCGTCCAGTTATTATTGTATTATCGTTCCCTTGGGTTCCTAGTGGAACATAGGGTTTCAACTGCACGCCTCCACTTGCTTCTGTCTTCTGCTGCACTTTTCACTTGCATCCATGTTAATCCATACTGTTTCAACTCCTCTTCGCACAATCTCCTCCATGTCACCCACACTTGGACGTCCCACTCGTCGCTTCCCTTTCGGGTTCCACTCGAGTGATGGCCTGACGCGCGATGTCACCCAGCGGCCTCCTCAGCGAGTGTCCAATCCATCTCCACTTTCTCCTGCACATTTGTTGGGCGATTGGTTCTTGTTTTGTTTGTTTGTTCCCATAGTTTCTTGTTGGCGATTCGTTCCGGCGGCCATCTGATCTTCAGTATAGAGCGAAGACAGTTGTTGTTGATAAAGGTCAGCAACAGGCTGTTGGAAATATTCTTTGTGACCCACTGGCCAAGTTTCTGATCCGTATAGAAGAAGTGACTTGATGTTTGTATTGAAAATCCGAATTTTGTTGTTGATGCTGAGTTGAGTGACGAAGATTTCCAGATTGGTTTCAGGTTGATGAATGTGTTTCTCGCCTTCCCGATTCTCGATTTGACATCGTCGTCCGTTCCTCCTGTAGTTGAGACAATGCTCCCTAGATAAGTGAATGAATTAACCTCTTTCAAATCCCTCCCGTTGATGGTGATTGGCGCTGGATGTTGCTGCTGTTGTTGTTGTTGTTGGTTGGTTGGTTATTTTCATAACCTCCGTCTTGTCTATGTTCACCTGGAGTCCTGTCTTTGCTGCTTCTTCGACCAGTTTGTCGGTTTTTGCTTGTAAGTCTTCGATTTTGTAAATTCGTCATTTCATTATCACAATAATCTGGTAAAATGGTATGACGTAGAAGGTTGAAATATTGAGATGTACAAATTACTGGCTAGACCGGTAAAACCGCATTTCGAATACTTTTATGCAACAGATAAAGCTCACCTTTCAACCAGTGGTGCATGGATAAAAACTGTAATCGCTGAGCTGAGATTTGGCACAGCAAAATATTATTATTATTACTTTGATTGGACACTATTAACTAGTGTGGCATGTCTAGTCCTTTCTTTGGTGCAGACTGAATTATATCAGTAAGGTGTGCAATGTGGCCACCATTCTAGGTAGTTCGCCATCACGGTGCACATATTGATTTGATGATATTAGATGGTTGGAGGCACTAAAGAAAGGACTAGACACATCACACTAGTTACTAGTGTCCAATCAAAGTGTCCACTAGAGTCCTACAGGAGGTCAGTCGCGAGGCTGAATAGCTCAGTGGTAACGTCTCAGCACTGGGTGACGCGGGTTTGAATCTCAGATGGGACATGAGTTCCTCCAAGGTAACAGATATGCCTTGCTGACTGGTGAGCGCCAACTAGTACGAAACCTAGGTTGGGCTGGGCTTCCTTCCGATTACCTCCAACCACCTAATAATAATAATAATATTATTATTATTATGGCTACGAGGTCAATGGAAACTCTGTAGGAAAGAACTCTTCACCCACAGTATCAATATTTTACGCGACTGCCAAAGATATTGTAAGAAAACAACCTAGATGAATACTAAATTGCTGGGCATTTACTTCATTGAGTTTCTTGGTATAACACACATTTTAAATACAAAATGTTGACAAAATAAAACAAAAGTTTGTATTCATGATACTTAATTAATTAATGATGGCGTCTTCGAGAAGGCTAGGGAAAAGTGCGTTTTATCGCACTGCTAAAGGGTGTAGTGTGTTCAAAGCATACTAGGCGTTGAAGAAGAATCCTACTTATACATATATTAATTGACTCGGATAATAAAATACACAGGTATATAGGTATAATATATATATATATAATTCAAAACTTACGGATACTGAAAACAGGCGGTTGAAATGTAGCATTTGAAGAACACTCCATTTGTTGATGAAAATTTGAACACAACGAGAATCGTCTTTGTAGCTTTGGAACTTTTGTTCGAGATTTACCCTGGTTACCACAACTATCATTACTATCATCGGAGTTTCTCAGTTGACAAGTAAGAGAACGTGAATATTTACTTGCATTCAATTTACTGCCAGAATTGGAATTGGAATAGGAATTATTTACACCTTGCAGTTTTGACATTTGACTCAATGAATGCAAGCGACTGAGATTCAGTGAATTAGCTGACAAGAGAATCTCTTCAATTGCTGTAGGGTAATGACAAATGTAAGACAAAAAAAAACAACACAGGTAATTGTTTAGCATTCATAGAGATATATGTTGCCTTAAATATGTCAAATAACTGACCAATCGGTGACCGATTTCTTAACCTCAGAGAGAAACATCAATGGTTCTATCACATGTCTGTCTGTCTATCTGTTTTCAACATAGAACTTTGCACCGATGTGCAGCAGTTCAAGTCTCCATGTAGCACATAAAGCAAGAGAAGAAAGTAGAAAGAAATGCAAAATAGAGACAGTAGACAGGGATATGAGACAAAAGGAATAGTAATAGAGAAGAGCAATATAGTTTTATTGGATATTATAAGTCACAAGGAATGGATGTACCTGCGCCAGCTATTGAGAACGAGGATTTTGAGCCATACCACCGATTGTCTCCAGCCAACATTGGTTCTCACCGTCCCGACGACCCCAACCGGTCAAGAAGCCAGTCTACACCTCCCTACGACATAGCTGGATTAAACTAACTGTTGTGGATTTCATCGACTGATGAGGCTGTGTTTTGGTTTGACCACCACCACTGGATGGCTCTTTTCCAATCTGATCCATCCTATGTCAGCTAACATTGTTCGTAGTCGAGACAGGAGATGGATAGCTGGGCATGCATACATGAATGCATAACACATGCCCTGACCATCTCTCTCAATCAGTGTAACTTCACAACCTCGTCGATTCATTTCCTCTTCCCCCACCCCCTTACCTAGCACTCGACTGAGGCCTAACCTCAATATTTCTCACCTTATTATACCATCTCATCCAAACATGAAAGAAAGAACACAGACACCTATGATCAAAGACAGTTAGCTTAGTTAAGTGTCTAAAAAACCGAGCAGTAGCACTAAGTAGTGCAAAAAAGATCTAAATGATGAAATAAAACAGATAGAAGAAGGAGCGTTGGTATCAAATAACTATCCTATAAAATTCATTAGGAAGATCAGTAAAGACCAAAAGTAAAATAAAAATAATTGTGAAACTAGTAATAACAACATAAATAAGAGAGAATATAAGGCATCTACTGTTATACCATTTAAGCAGGGGACATCTGAGACCCTCCCTAAGTAGGATTCTTAATAAAGCAGGAATTAGAGTGGCATTTAAACCTACAAATTCACTCACGGACAAGCTCTGTAGGTTAAAGGACCCAGTTGACCCAATTAGACAAAATAATATAATTTACAAAATACCTTGCAGTGACTGTGAGTAAGGTCAACTACATAGGCAAAACTAGTAGGTCGGGGTAGTCAGATTGTCGAAAAATAAGAATTTAGCTAAGGCCAGAAGATAAGTAATTTAGAAAAAAGCTCAGTACTACATTGCACTGCATGCATTAACACACAACTACAAAATAGGGTGGGAGAGGATTAAAATTCTAAAAAGTAATATAGGTAGGTGGAGAGAGAGAGAGGTTGATTACTGAATCCTTGTTCATCGAATCTACACCCAACACGTGCAATAGGAATGACTCATCACTCATACTGGAAATATGGAAAATAATACTACCAATCAAGTCAAGCGATGAAGAATAACGGAATTATATAAACGAAGTTAGAAAGTTGTGTGAGTAGTGCCTTGATGTGATGTGATTATGAGCAGTAATAAATTGTGCTCGAAACGTGTTCACATCAGTAAATATTACTGCATAACAAACACTGTGAGACTTTATCAAAATAAATTTTGTCCACAAGTTCTATTCTTACATTGTTTCCTAACATCATGAGGAACCTAAGCAGTTAGTGCAGACTTCACCGAATCAAAACTAACAACTGAAGACTCTTTCGCAACCCAGTATACTGTGGTAACCAACATTACTGGTCAACACATCGGGTAAATAATGCCATGAACATATTATATTTTTTCAGCTCGATGATGCATTCGCTTACGTTAAATATTTGTATATAGAGGAGAGAAGAAATCAAATAGATTAATATCCATTACAGCATTCAGAAAAGAAACACCCATAATACGATAATACTAGAAAGTATACTATTTCAAAACGATCACATAATAATAATAATAATAATAATAACAATAATAATACGTTTCACTATTATCCTAGAAATATTTCCGGTCAAGGGTCAAATTAATATAAAATTACAATTAGGAATTAAAATGCCATAATAAACAGAGGGACGGAAAAAAGTTCAAACAAAGTAGCATCATAATTACCGAGAGGATTGACATTTTGTGCAATCAGGGGTTAGAAATGTAGAAATAACAAAATAGACAAGGTGGTTGGATAAAAAATCTAGTGGGATCATAACTAATGTGACGAATAATTGTTTATGCAATTAGGGATTAAATACACGGAAATAATAAAATGACAAAATAGACAAGAAGTTCGGATATGAAAATATGATAGTGTAAATAGGGACTAAGAAAAACTTAAAAATGACGTGATTAAGAAGGAAGTTTGGTTGAGAAAGGTAATGGGGTAGTCACTACTAAGAGAATTACCTGGAAACATCGAATCGGGCGTTCGAGGGTGACATGGAAGAGATCGTGTTAGGAGGAGACGAGAGTCTATGGGCAATTGTGGAGCCAGTTAAAGAGGATTGAATAAAATAGGGTGGAATGGAGGTGTGCTGTTGTAACCCCATGTCCCACTCGGAACCAAAGGGAGTAATAAGATAATAATAATAATAACAATAATTACTATTATTAATATTGTATACTAGAGGGAACAGAAATAAACATAATCAAGTATTGAAAACAATAAACATTAATGCATCATAACAAATATTATTGTAATGTAAATAGGTCTGATTGTTGTGTTCTAAATTTCGTACATCACATGACGGTGTTATTCGTTCTGCGCTGATATGAAGTGTTATGCTGGGAAGTTAGTGTTATTTGTAAGACAAATAAGCATCGATAGACTGTTTTGTGTAGTAGTATTAGTATTAGCAATAGTATGAGTATTAGTAATATGAGGGGGAATGTACAAATGAAATTCTCGGAAAAGAGATAGAAAGCGTTCACAATACTTTTGAAAGGTAGAATTCCTCGTTTCTGATACGTATACTAATAATATATATATAACCATGATTAACACCAGAATACCAGAAAATGGAGGTATGGTAAAGCAACAGAATTAAGCATTCCTTACAGTTAGATAACTTAAAAATCCCTATTGAGCTAGATTAAAAGAAAAGACAATCAGCGAAGAGAGTTACTCACTCTTTTGAAAGACATCAATGTCAAACTGTACTAGTCAGTAAGTAACTAGTGTCATGTGTCGAGTCACATAAATAAAGACAGCTGAGGCCTTGACAATTCATGACTTTAAGCCAGACTTTTGTGTACAAAAGAAGTATGTACAATCCCTACTTCTGCCTTGGCCGTAGAGGGATAGACATTTATTTATTTTGTTTTTCCCGGGCTACTGAAGAAAGACTATAACATATTAAGCAGGATGTTAAATGTTGTCAGCAGGGTAAGCAACGTGCCACTTAACCAGCTTGCTAATACTCTGGTTGACAGGCACATGGACTCATGTGAAAAATGGGCCAAATCCATTTTATCTAACTCACACCACCCTCTTCACTCACAACTCTCCCCTTGCATCTCATCAGGTAAAACCAGAAGCTAATATAGAAAACTATATGCTCGCACCAGCAAGTACAAAAACTCAACCATACCCTACTTAGCTCGTGTTCTGTGTGATAAAGAAAGCATTAGGCGTGACACCTATAATTCATTAAATAGTCAGTAGTACAACTGGATCTCGTCTTTTCAACCCATATCATCAATAGGTACAACGTTTTCTTTCTTTCTTTTCCTTTTCTTTCTCTTCTTTTTCCGTTATGTGCTGCTTTGTTTCTTTCTCTCGCTTACGCCAGTTAATAAGACAGCTGCCACTTTTCTAACACCTTCAAACATTGTTTCAGCTTTACCTTTGCTACTGACATGCCAATGTATTGTTGTAATAATGAACTGTGGTTTCCTCAATCTATGTAGAATTCTATTTATTGATAATGTACTAACTGGATCCAATACTGTAGTAAAAATGCTGAGAATTCCATTCTGTATCACATGTACTGTTTTGGAATAAAGCAAATTATTATTATTATTATTTATTCTGTGTACTTTTCCCTTATTACTACGATTATTATTGTTATCATTATTATTATTACTATTCTCACTCTAAATCTTTTTCACTTGACCCACCTGACATTTTAAACCCAAAATTATTGTTTTTTATATTTTTATTTTTACAATATTGAATTCTATCTTATCAAATTTCACACCATGTTATGTAACATTTTATATTCGTCTACTGATCTTATAATTATGTACCCCTTTCCAAAATTCTATACACCTTATGTATTATTCTATATACGACATTAATTATTTTGCCACTTGACATTAAACTATGATTATAATCACAAATATTTTAATTGCATTTCATACTATTATTATTTCATGTATTCACACCTTTGACCTAATTCCCTCACCGGATATAATTTTTATAAAAAAAACCATATATATACGATTGTACAGCTTGATAATAAATTCGTTGAAAAGAGTCTCTTCGCAGAATATTGTGTTGTTAATGCTACAATGGAAATTATTAAATTATTGAATTCTATCAGTCAAGTTTTCGCAATATGGCCATCATACCACTAGGTGGACATTTAATAACAATAATTCTGAACGCGAATTGATGGCCAGCCACTTAGCATGGTGACCAGATTGCAAACATGACGGACAGAATTCAGTCTACACATTACACTGATTACTAACTAGTGTCCAATCAAAAATATCCAGTACAGTCAGTCCTACAGGAGGTCAATCGTCAGGCCGGATACCTCTCAGTGCTAACGTCTCTGACTACAGGTTCAAATCTCAGAGGGGACATGAGTTCCTTCAAGGTAGTAGATAGTTACTTCCATTATGGGTAAATTTTATTTTGATAAAGTCTCACAGTGTTATACAGTAATATTTACTGATGACCACGTTTCGAGCACAATTTATTACTGCTCATAATCATATCAAGGTAATCACACGACTTCCTAAATTCATTTATATAGTTCCGTTGTTTTTCATTTGATTTTCACCAAGATTACGTTTTAGAAATCTAGGTAAGTGGAGAGAGAGGTTGATTACTGAATCCTTGTCCATAGAACAACTTGTACACAACACATGCAATAGGAATGATTCATCACTCATATCCGAAATATGGAAAATATTACTACCAATCAAATCAAGTGAAAAACAATGGAACTATATAAATGAATTTAGGAAGTCGTGTAATTACCCTGATATGATTATGAGCAGTAATAAATTGTGCTCGAAACGTCATCAGTAAATATTATTGTATAACACTGTGAGAATTTATCAAAATAAAATTTACCCATAATGGAATTACACTCTACCACAGTGCCCGAGTTTCATTCTTATATCAATGTAGATAGTTACGCCTTGGTGACTAATGAGTGTCAACTAGCACGAAACCTAGGTCAGACTGGGGGTTACCTGCCGATTGCCTCAAACCATCTAAAATCAGCGTCGGTGAAACAGCAGTAGATTGCTCATCAAGGCACTCCTTTACCTCGCTAGGCCAGTAGTAATAGGACTGGGAAAGAGGGAAGGTTAGGCTAACGTGAGGCTAGCGACCCCACATCCAGTAAAAATAATCACCACTGCTACCAAACCTTCAAGCCTCTAGCTTGAAACCTTATGTACCATTGAGAATGTAAAGTAATAAGAAAAAATCTGAATTTAAGAGTAACTCTTCACTGAACCTCCTCTTTTTGTACTTATGTCAGGATGAGAAGAGATACAATGAAATCGATTGACAAAAGCATAAAGCAATCAGACAGTTGATGCTCTTATACATGTATATATATATGACTTACATTCACGTGCGAGATCCACTAAATGATGAACTACTTCTGGAGGAGTACCGTTGAATACATTGACATTAGATTTTCTAGCACTTTCCAAATCCATACAACCTGCTGTACAGTTCACAGTACCTGGAGGACATCGACCAGCACCTACTGCATCCAGAGTATACAAAGCTAGATCTCTAAAGAAGGAAAGAAGAAAAATTTATAGAAAAAATTAGTCGTCATTGTGAAAAGAAAACACTCATGCTGTTAAAAAACGAATATACTAAAATAAAGAGGAAGAGCAAATCACTACGATTCACGTTATCACATTTATAAACGGGAAACAATTAGACACATTAAAGTTATCACTGAAAATCATCATAGATTGTTCGCATGACAAGCTGAAATTAGTTATGGATTTCGGTAGGAGAGTGATGCCATCGATGAAATTCGATTTCTGTCAGCGACACAGACACAGCGCATACGATAATGTGGAGAACTCAGTGTTGGATTTCACGTAAAACAGATACTCAATAGTCAATAAGAGTGTTAAAAGATTAATCGATACTGGTTACATGTAGGGTTATCTAAGACATTATGTTAGCAGAAGCAGGATTTATTCTCAAACTGATGTCAGCTCATGATGAAATCCTACAACCAAAAAAATAAAAATTAATAAATAAATAGAGAATCACAGTGCAGTTGGATGGATTGTCTAAGGTAGATGACAAAATATCGGAAAATCCTAAACACTGTAGGTAGGTGGCCATTGTGAATGTAAGACAATTGACAATAAGAACATGTGTCTGTGTCTATGTGATATCCTCTGATTCGAGAAATTTCACATCACGTTGAATTACAACCAGAACACCGAGAACACATTTATCAGTGGATTAGAAACGCCCATTGAAATTTTTCAAAATAATAGTTACTGAACAGAGAATATTTTTGTCGATAACATGCTCCTCATCACCAGTTTCCACAGTTACATATCCATCCATAACAGTGAATGAATGAATGAATCAGTGTTATTAAACAACAACACAAATGTTGTTGTTTAAATAACATCCAATCAATAATAATAATAATAATGTCGATGGATTACAGTTCAGTGGCATCAACATAACACTACACACACGGAATATCAGAAAAACTAGCAAAAATGACAATAATAATAACAATACATATGAACTGTGATCAAGATTTGACCGGATAGTTGCAAAATAATTGAGCGCTGAGTGAGAAGTAGACATTTGTAAAAAATTATATTTGTAAAATCTCAGAGAAATTGAAATGATTAATTCCAACGTTTCCTATGGTCGGAAATCTGGTCCCAACTTCTTCAGGGAAATTAATCGAAATTAACATAACAGAGGTTTATATATAAAAGGAACATCACCTCTTTTTAAACTTTGTCCAATCATGAGCCATGCATGTATATAAACATACAATTTTATTTATTATACATGTTGATGCCTGTTGCATGGCTCATGATTGGACAAAGTTTTTAAAAACAAGAATTGTTCCTTTTATATATAAACCTCTGTTATGTTAATTGTGATTAATTTCCCTGAAGAAGTTGGGACCAGATTTCCGAACACAAGAAACGTTGGAATTAATCGTTTCAATTTCGCTGAGATTTTACAAATATAATTTTATAAATAATAATACACATTCATGAATTTATAGTCGCCTCGGAAGGCCGCCCAGGGCAACTGTAGTAGTATCTAGTTGGACTTGCTTCTTTTGGACATAAAACAAAGCATGGCTAAGCAAAGGTGTATGTAGTAAAAACCATCAACAGTTCGATATATTAGACGATCTGGTCCAAACCAGCGACAATGCCAGCACTGAAGAGTCCTTCTACATCATCTATCGGGTACCACACTGATTACCAAAAATATCCAGTTACCGCATACTTCAAACAACATCTCATTTGATACGGGTCATGAGGTGAACATCTACGTGTCCTTTGAAATTGTCAATAAACAAACTAGTGCAATTGTCTTCAACTTTACCGAAGCCATCGCGCTATTAAACGCCTGAAACTAGAATTATTATGCGTTCAGAAGAAAAACAGTTATTAGTCTTCCCTTGCCCTGATAACTGAGTGTTTTTACGCTTTCTTTGGCTTGATGAACCTCTCCCACCTTTCGCTACAGTGTAACTTTGCTTGTCACTTGTTTGTATCATTTGGGTTGAGTTGAACTCACCACATTATTGTTACTTACTCAATTTATTAATTACTTATCATCATCATCTTAGTCACCTCTTGTCCTTATTATTACTTAACTTCTTTGTCAGTGTATCCAAGCGTTTATTTTTATAAAAGGAAAAAAAAGACTGAATGGTCTACGCAAGCTAGCTTGCCTTGTAACCGGAAGGTACTGGGTTCGAACCCGGCGTCAGTGTGGGTGCGTACTGCCGATCATTCACAAAACTAGACCGACGAAACAGCTGTCCAGTACTTCTTCTTCTTCCTCAGCAGTGGTTTTCACCGGTTCTCTCACTGATATCAATCCATGCATGGTCAAACTCGTATAAACAAATCTATCTAATCCTTAGAAACTAAACTCTTGAGAATAGAAAAGACATTCAACGAAGAGTCAGTCTTTTTTCGGCGATATCATTCTTAAGCTGTACACAATCGCATACACATACACGTATAGTTAACTGCCTTAGCGACAAAGTGGATATTTCAAAGATTTGTCATTAGAGTTGTAAATTTCACTTAACAAATTACACACATACTCAGAATTAATAATCCCCATTGAGACATAAAAACGAAGAATTCAGCGAAGAGAAAAAAATTTATTTTTTCGACTATTTCATTTGCATATATTTATATATATGATCAACTAAAAGGGTAAATACAGGTCAACCCCAAATTCAGCATACCGGTCTAAAATATTTGCTCGGACATAAAACAGGATCCGCACATGTGAATGCGTGTATGAAACACAATGAAATACATCTACGAAGGGTAAACGCTCATCAAGGCAGCAGACTACGTAAAATACTACAAAAATACAACATAGAGTCAAATCATATACAACATGAAGGAAACACCAAACAATCGACAATACAAACATTTGGTAAAGTACATGTTTTAGGAGACTCCGGAACTCGGTAACGAAAGACATTTTACAAATTTGTTTTTGTACACAAACAACAACAGGTTCGGCTTTATCGGTTGGACTTTGTAGACTAACTAACTATATATAGTGAACGATGTGTCCGATGCTGCAACGTGCGTGGTCAGAGTTGTGATCTACAATATCGATGTTGCAATATGGATGAATTAGTTAATTAATACCACCTCACCTCTACACGTTCTCCTTTGTTCAGTCAGCTAAACTGCGAATGAATGATTCTCTTCCTGAAGGCGGTGGGATATGTCGAACGAACGAACGAATGTACCTAGCTGCACAAGCGCAGGTGAACAAATGAATCAATACACATGGATTCAGACAAACGAGATAACATTACCTTGACTCTAGTCAGTGATGACTGATAATAATCCTCTATAGACCAATATTATCGCACTTTAACACGCCCACCCACACACACAACAAGGAAATTTTGTAATGTACAAAGTGTTGATTGGATAGAAGCCATTCGAATTAGCCATTAGGATTTTAAGCTTTAGATAACAAATTTCGCTTATTGGTTAAAAAGTAAAGTAAGATTGAATAGGCAAGTTGAGTGATGTAATCGATCTAATTCTGACCGGACTGAGTAGAACTCAGCTAAAACTAAAATTGAACAAAAGTCAAGTTAATCACAGTGATAATAAGGTGTAGAGATTTAATAAGGGGTGGGTGGGGAAGAAAATATTATCCAATTAAGAAACAAACAAGCAAAAAAAAGAGATGAAACAAAAAATTACGTATTTGGTGTTAAGATAGGTCGGTCCGATCCACTGTGGATTTAATGACTGAACAAACTTCCTTTTTTGTATGCAGAGTTCAAGTTTTACTATGTGATGAATTACCATTGCTTCTGAGGCTTGAAGAAGTTTGATTTGTACTCTTTTTAGCAAGATATTCACGTATTCTATGGATGACTTTGAAGTTACTTTGTGGGTTTCCTTGGTGCTGTGATTCGATCAAGCTTCAGGGGAAACATTTTTCTCCATTATCGATAAGATTTTATTTTGATAAATCACACAGTGTTGTACAGCAATATTTACTGATGACAACACTGTGAGACTTTATCAAAATAAAATCTTATCTATCTATAATGGAGTTATGCTCTACCACACCACAGTGCCCAAGTTTTATACTTATATCATCAATGATACTGCTACTCACTGCCTCTTCATTGAAGTATATATTTGTCGGTCACTCACACTATCTCGGAGTCCAAAGTTGTACTGCTGCAGAATACAGATGTAACAGCAGAAAGATATTTCCTTTAGACGACTAACAAACCAGCCTCACCGTTGTAGGAAGAGGCGTTGGAGAAAGCCAACCGCGAAAATGATACATTCCGACTTTGCAGAAGTCCACAATCGATACAATAAGATCTGAATACGAAGACAACTTCAAATGCCAACTGATAAGCGGGCCATGTGTACAACTGGAGTCAAGTAGTTGTTTGATTTCATTCTGTGGTCAGGCAGTCTGAAAGGAATTATCGCAATTATCACAAACACCACTGAACTGCGTCTTTGGTATTTCACACCCAATTTTTTTTAGAAATAAATTATATATCAGGCTGATTGACTGGATAAAACGACTACACAGACAGACAACAAACATCTAGTAGGCAAGCAAAATGATAGTTACCGCATAGTCCTTTTTTTTATTCCTTCGCGTTCCCCAGTGGAACATAGTGCTTCAAGCTAGCGGCTTGAAGTTTCCGTAGCAGTGTTGATTCTATTTTACAGGATGAGGTTGCCAGCCTCATGCCCAACCTTTTCTCTTCACCAGCATTACTTCTGGCTCAGCGAGGTAAAGGAATTCGCCGGCCGGGGACCGAACCCCTGACCATGACCATGCATGGTTGGCGAGCGTCCTAACCGCTATGCCACCGACGCACACATAATCTTTAATTACATAAAATAAAGTAAATGCACACCGAATATATATTAGCACATCTGTTTAAATTACCAAAAGTCAGCAGGTAAGTTAAAAGAGGAGGATCAGGGAAGAAGCGTCAGTCATTTCTGGTACCACTTTCAATCACTCCACTC